TCATGTGATTACCTATACAAATTGCACTCCACTCAGTTCAATTACCATTATAAAACAGTTTTCATGCGATGATGAGTATCTCGATCTGGAGGAAAGATGTCATGTAGAGCTTTTGTTCTTTGTTGTTGGAGTGAATTTCTTGTCACTTAAAAGTCTTCATACAGTTTCAGTCCATTCAGAATAGCGAAATGATATATTTGCCTGTGATTTACAATCCAAGGTTATGCCCAAATGTCGGGTGCACTCTCATTTTTTTACAATTCTGTCCCTGAATGTTATGGAGATTTCTTGTTGAATTTTATTCCTGAATAGAAAATCGAAGCTGTTCGCTCTTTAAGAAGCACTGAGTTCACTGGGCCCTATCATGAACTGAACTGTATCGTCTAATGTCATTAATATTTATCATGACAACGTAACTATATATACACAAATAATCAAACGTTCTCGTAACGTAAATAGAGCGAGTATAACCTGACTCGCTTGAGACAATTTTACGCGGCCTGAGACTGGATCATTTTTATACATTTTAAACTGGATGACCTTCCTGTCGAGAAGAGGAAAGTTTAAAGCATATTGATTTAGGACAGGGTTGGAGTACTTTATTTATTTCAGAGCTATTATGGGTCATTGTAACAGAACAAAGATTTAGTGCCGCGTTTATAACGACACAAGCCAAGGAACATTTTACATTTGACTTCGACTATCTTTCCCTCTATTTTTTAATAGAACTTACAGAAAATTTAAATATATTAATGAGCGTTTGATATCTACAACAAGAGATTCCAGTCGTTGTTAGCAACTTCCAAAACACCTTTAAAATCCAAATCAATGCTGTAAGAAAGAAAAAAACCGAGGTAAAAATAAAGACAAATAAAAATAAACTAGACCAAAGGTGTCCATGCTTTTAGCAACCTTCTTTTCTGGATTTCTCAGCTTCACAGGCTCGATTTTGAAACTAGCGTAATTTGTTCTTAATTATATTCTAGGTTATGATATCCATTGCACAGAAGGAAAAAAAAAATAGTGAAAACCTACCGGGTTAAAAAATCTTAACCCTAGAGAAATTTCACCATAATGAGCACGCGCCATGAACACCTGCCCAGCTTGATCAGAACCAAAAGTATCACAACAGCCAATCAAACCGTTGGTAGATATTAAACATGGCCAGTGAGAAATCCTTTAATTGTGGCCATGAGGTAGAGAACTGCTTTGCCCACTAAGCATATCCTGTAACTGTACGAGTTTGGGTGAGCCGAGGATTTTAACTTACTTCACATCGGGCAGCTACAGCACAACTGACCATCAGCACAGCCAGGGTGGGGACTGCCCGAGCAGTCACCCCTACACCTTGTCGCACAGTATCTTAAGTCATGTCCAGATATGCACTTATCATTGGGTTCCTGTGCAACTAAAAAACAGAGATAAAAAGTACCGATTTCATGATTTTTCCTTAAAATACCTCTTAGCTCTCCTGAGGACAGTTAAGTCTTTGTTTACAACTTAATTAAAGTCGCTTGTATCGTGAAGATTAACAAGGCTGTGAAAAGTCCAACACTTTGTTTGGCAGACTCAGCCTAATTAAAGTGAAAAGGGTGAAGAAGAGGGGGTGAGGGATGGGTGGGAGGGATGGGGGAGGGGGAGGGAGAGTAAGGGGACACCGCCGTCCTTTTTTCTTCGACTTACCTTAGTGTAGCTTAGAGTCTTTGACGGATCGGTTATAATGGCATAGAGTGGTAAGGCTCTCACTTTGTAACGCATCAGTCCATTCTTTCTAAATATTTTATATATCTCCGTGATTTACACGCTAAGGCATCTAAGATCAGCGAGATTGAAATCACACTACAACTCCCAGAATGTACCCCCTGGAAAATGAATATCAAATCCTTCACGGAATACAGACATCGAAAAACAAATGTTAAAACAAGTGACTGGTGTATAAACCATGAGCAAATGACGAAAAACAAATTAAGTTACCTTCAGGCTTGGGTGCCACGTGATCAGCAACCAGGAATATTACAATAACTGTGAAAGTCACAAACAGCTTCATAGTGTAATCTTAAACCACACAGGATATCAATCTGAAAAGTAGTCACTGTGAAAACAAAAATGCAGCTCTAAGAAGAAGTTTGGCTTTTGAATATTTTCATGCGTTTAGACTAACAGAATATATGTTGCTCTGATTAATCCCGAAGTATATATAAAATTACAATTGCATGGGCCAACGGCTTGTAACGTTACGTTTCATGCCCCCTAAGGCATTTTCACGATAACTGATAGTCTTAGCGAAACGCAAGTCCTCTGTTAGTTTGCACTGAACAGACTAAGACTTGCTGGACTCAAAATTTAAAACAAAGAAACGAGCTCTCTCCTACCTTGATGTCGACAAAAAAATAACCAGGTTTGACTCGGATCTCTACAAGGAGATGTAAACTATCGATGTCTTTGTGATTACAGCTGATTCGATTACCATCATAGAGAGACATGCAAAGATCAATCTGGATAAATAGAATGCGATCCGACAATCACAACGTATTATTTAAGAACGTTGAGCGATAGAAGGTTGACGTGCGTGTCTTTTCATTTGGTTTTCGGTTACTCTTGAAAATGAGGGAATTTGCATTTGAAAATCTACTGTCAGTCTAGGTTGACTCAGGTGGAAGCACAGTCTGAGAGTTAGTCAAACAGAAATTTGAAAGAGAAACTCTATCGATGACGACTTGAACCAAAAGCTTGGGGCAATAAAATCCGTGTACCTTAGTGCCAACCGATTTTCAATTGTTAGGAAAATGAAACACAAATTTTATTTTCGTTTTTCTTTGCCGCAAAAAAACGAAATTGGACTTCCATTTTCGTTTTTCATTTTTTTCCCGCCGGGAAGGAAACGGAATCCGAATTCACTTTATGCTCTCCGTTTTTCCTTTTTTGTAACTTTTGAAAAAACGGATTTTAATTTTCTTTTTGGTTTCTTGGTTTTTTCGTTTTTCGTTTTCGTATGGGACTTGGAAAACGGATCACAAGTCGTTTTTCGTTTTTGGCCAATGGCAGTGAAACTGACAATCTTTGTTTAAGCGGGGAATATTTAGGAAACTAAGATGGCGGCGTTAGAAAATGTCTTAGAAGAAGATTTTGTCCGCCGGTTTCTTATCGCACAGAAACATATTTACGAGGAGCTTGTCACTGAAATCAAGGCTCGATATCCGAATCTAAAGGGCTGCAGTCTACAAAGCGTAAAAGGTTTTGTAATCACCAAGGAATAAGGAAAAAAATGCCAATTTCGGATGAAGCGCTTAAGTGCCGCTCTCGCTAAGAGCGCTCCTCTCGACTTCCCGTCGGAGAAAAGTTTTCTTGTAATCCGCAAATGCAAAACGAAAATGGAAGTCCAATTTCGTTTTTCTGCTGCAAAAAAAAAAAACGAAAATAAAATTTGTTTCATTTTCCTATACAATTGAAAATCGGTTGGCATCAAGGTACACGGATTCAACAAGTCGGGCTGAAAGTCCACAGAATCAGGACTCTTTATCGTGCTCCTTATTTGCTACTTGAATTAAAAACGTGTTTTCGGAATTCTCTCTGAGTTGCACCCACACGTTTGCAAACAAGCCCGTAGTGTGTCCCACACACTATGTACCTCCGGCAGCTGTGTCCTTAGTACAAAATTCTCGTTGCGTCTACTAAGGTTTGTGTAAGGTCTGGTAGGTTTCAATCAACAGCTTTCAATCTTATAAATACAGCACATCAAGGTTTGAGAAAAACAAAACTAGTACTGATAGTGACAACGCAACAAGCTTTGACAACACTCTAAATTTATTATAATAGAGACCTACGTTCGAGGTCAGTTTCGCTTTTTTGCTTTGGTAAGAATATAATATTTTACAAAGAATCAACAATTCACGCACCAAATTACAATAGGATAACCAATACTGTGCTAGAGACAACAAATAGCGTGCTTTAAAGGTATCAAGCTTTAGTGAATACAGAAACTGAAGGTTCTTGGCTTTACAACGGACACTACAACAACTCCTTTTTTTTTTTTTTTAATAACACAAACCTGCTGATAAAACAATAATTTACAACGCTCAAAATCTAAGCAGCAATATCATTGCGAAATTTTCAAGAGCAAGAGAAGGATCTACAAAACTACGGAACTCCTTTTCTATGTGATGTACCCTGTTCTCAAAGAGGTGTGCATGATGTACTTGGCTCTCACATAAAGTTTGAGACAACAAAAAGAAAATCGGTTGGAGAAAACTTTTGTCCTTCAAAATTTGTGCGCCTCTTACCTTAGACGACTTAGTTCGGAAAAAATTATAAATATTTAAAATATCTTTATGTAAAATGGCACTAGGACCTTCAGAGGTATTTGTTTGATACATGATTTTCACTACTGAAACACAAGATTTAATATTCCTGGAAAATGACCTGTAGCATTGGTAAATTGTTTGGAGTGTAAGTTGTGCCTTTCTACGCGAGAAGATCACAGTTGAATCATTACTTGAGACAAACAAACACCAAAACACTGTCATTTAAGACAAACACACAAACACAAAGATGAAATTGAAAACGTCCATTCACAAAAATCCTAAAGACATACTGTATATCAAGATCATACAAATTTCAACAAACTAAAACAAGTCCTCCTAAGTGGTAAGCTTCAAAATTTCTCAGTTCTAAAGCGAAGACTTCATTGTTACAAATTTCGTCGAGGCGGCTGGGTACCGTTTTCTTAACCACGGAGAGGCTACATTAAGGCGCCAACACTACCAGTCGGATTGAAGGAAAACTATCCCCAACCCGTTAAGTCTGAGGTAGGCACAAAAACAAATACAAACGCTTCAAATGGCACGACCCCCACTCGAAACAAAATCCAACTATCTAAAGTTGAAAACCTGACCCACAGAGACACTCCCTTTTTCTTTTTTCTTCTTTTTTTCTCTTTAATTACTATGACGGCAGCTACACCCATGTGCCAAATTTTGTTTGGTTACAGTTATGATCTGGTCATGCAGGAAGAGTCGAATTTGGTAGCGGAGACGTTGGCGCTGACGGTAAAGGCGAGACGATCTGTTGAGTTGGTGTACCGCTAGACTGCATAGGCACTGGGGACACAACAGTCTGCGCTAATCTCTGTTGCTCCTGTCTCACCACTGGATCTGTAAGGCACAGCACACACAGTAACAATAAGCACACTGTGTGACTCCACTTACTTTTATTTTAGAGTGATTGTTCATTTTTCTAAGGACATATTCTTTACCAAATCTTCAACTACGAATATTGCATTTCTAGTGTTTTGATTGGTTCATTCAACATCGGTTATCAGCTCATGTTCCAATACACCTTATATGAAAATGCATTGTACCAACTGTTTCTGAGCTGAAAAAAGATTCCAAATATTCAGGTTTTAATGAAAGTTAATAAAATAATTATTCCATTCGCGCTCGTTAGATACGAGAATGGTTAAAGCCAAATCAGCGCTACGGCCTATTAACCATCTCATATCCAACGCGCGCTTCTTTTGCGAAAGATGCGATGAACACAATGTTTGGCGCTCTTGACAACGCATCAAAATGTCCGGCTTCGAAACCTTAGTGAGATCATTGTGTTGAGTTCTTGGGCATTATCGTTATCACTTTAATTGTCTTTTTCAAACTGAGTATGAAGGGGTAATGGCCAAACACCAGGGAACCTGACCCTATTGAACCATCACTCCTATGCCATATTAAACCGCCTGATATATTGCAGCTCCCACTAGATGCCTTGGGACCATTTTCTACGTATTAATTTTACAAAATGTATTGAAAACACGACAAATTTACTTACGGAAGTACGGATGTTCCATGGCTTCCCTTGCTGTCAAGCGTTCCTGTTGACAAGATAATCAATCAGACCAAAAACTCATGAAATCGAATTTTGGTCACGTTCTCCTGGTATCAGCTTGATCATATGGCCACACGCAGAGGAACGATCATTTTGATAATCATTAATATAGCTAACTGATCGTGTGGTCTGACAGTTCGGGTGACAATGAGGTTGTTGTCTACGAGGCTGACCATCGATTTTATTACGAACAGAACTTCTTACAATTGACGGAAAAACAACTCGTGAGACTCCGATTATGACTTTGGCTCGGATTGACGTAACCTGAGCCCGTGATGCAGCCGATGGGGTATCGTTTAAAAGGAGCAAAGGGCAAAGAGCACAAAGAGCACGCGTAGTTCTTTACATGTACATTGTCGACTTCGGTGATATTCAGGCGGGAAAAAGAAAAAAAGGCGGGATATGCAATTTCCACTATAACTGAAAATTTCGGGAGCATATTTTCTTTGATGCAGACACAAGAAATTTTTTTTTACATGTACATGCAGTGTGATTATTGTTTCGGCATACCGCAATGTCGTATCTTAGGAGTTTGTCCAGCAAGTCAATTGCTTCAGGGCTCACTAGAAGTTCATTCTCTGAATGCGTGAATCTTTCCCATCTCTTTCTTGAATGTCTACGACAAAACAACAAAAAAAATTGAATATGCTGATGTAAAACAGAAAAGAACAAGAAAACTATGTCTGCACATGGATTTGACTCGTATAGTCGCCCCGTTTTTATGTATTGAAGCAACAAGTAGTGTTACTAACACTCCCGGAGGGGATATTGATCCATGGCATAACATTAGGTTAAACAATCAGTTCGGTGGTTGAGTACCGTACCATGATAGAAACTCCTCGGACCAGATGGTCTGACGTTCGAATCCTACACGTAGCGTGGGACACCTTGTTTGTTCTTTGTCCAAAGCTCGAGACGAGTGACTAAGAGTATGGTTTGATTTAACCCTTTTCACCCAAAAATAAGACTTCACATTCTCCTCACTATTCTTTCCACATTTTCGATGATGCTCGCTAAAGAATGTTTGAAAATCTGGAGCTTCTTGAACTGGTGATCATTTCCTTTATTATCATGACCTTTTCATTTAATTTAAGGAAGACACTGTAAGGGGAAATTAGAGGCCAGACACTCTAAGAGGTTAGACCAAATGTTTAGATCTAGAATTGAATTCATTATAAAGAAACGGGGCGTTTGTTTGAAAAACGACTGTACATTGTATGGCAGACATTGCAGAGGATTGTTACTGGATCTCGTAAGTGAAGGGTTAAATACTATAAGCCAAATGATAAACGCACAAAACGCCAGCCAAACATAAACAAAACTAACCTCCCTAAGATGTCATTGAATCTTGGGTCTAATTCAATATGATACTTCTCGATATATTCAAACAGCTCATCTGTTCCTATCACTTTGGCAATTCTGACAAGCTGGAGGAAGAGAAAATTAAAAAAAAATCAATAATAAAAATCACACATCATTTACAGACACAGACATCCAAAACATTTTGGATATCTCTAGATGTTTAAAGTACCAATAAAAACCAACACTTTGGTAGAGGTCATCTAAATTAAAAAAGTAAAATAATATCCATTTTTTAAAATCCCTTCATTAAAGCAGTGGAAGCTTTAAAAAGGAAAGGAAAGGATAAAATTTTTACCCTTTCCTTTCCTTTTTAACTGGACCGAGAGGGAGGAAATTAAGGTTATATATGTTTCCTAAACATCTGAGGCATCTCCTGTCATCAAGCTTTAAAAGTACTATTTTCATCTGTTATGCACACCTAGAAAGTATCTATTATTGAACACTGCAAGCAACAAATAGGTAAATTAATTAAAGAACAAGAAAACACATTACCTGGTCATAGTTGTCATGCCCATGAAAGAAAGGTTCTTTTCTGAAAATCTGTTTCAGGGTGACAATTAATTAGAAAATTAATCATCTTAATTAATAATACAACTTACTCAATGTAAAACATATGAACATGCTGTTAAAACTCTGGACATTAAGTTCCCTCCTTCCCCCATCTATCAGAGGAAAAACTCTAGAGTAGCAAATCAGTCCCAAACATACATACATGAATATTTAAAAAGCCTTATTTGTTTTGATAAACCCACTGTAGCCCTATAAGAGTGTATATACAGCTTTACACTATAATATGACCTCTGTTTCTGGAGGGAAATTCTGCAATGAACACTGTAATCCTGTGCATGATAACTGAGTACTCTGTGCTTTCTATGCTTACAGAAGTGTTCACACTAGTCAGAAAACAGTTTTTGTGTAACAATTTCATTCACTCTTGTCCAATGATCTCACAAAGTGGAACATGTGTAGCCTACTGGTTTGATGATCAATAATTAGTCCCTCACCATGCTGGCCAGCATACAACCAAAACTCCACATGTCCAAGGAATAGTCATATTCCTGAAATCACAAACAAATGGACATCATTGAATTTTTTAAAACTGTGAGTTCAAAGCCACATTAAAGAGGAAACATATGGGGAATCTGACACAGAAGTAAAGGTAACAATGATAGTAAAAGTTAAAAGTAAAAGGCATAAACTCTCTTAATGAAAAGCCAGTGTAAAAGATACTTGCACTGAGTTAAGAATTGCAGGTATTCTAAAGACAAGCAACAGACATTCACGATACATACTTGATGGTCAACCAGTAATTCAGGTCCTTTGAAATATCTGGAAGCCACTCGAACATTGTATTCTTGTCCAGGATGGTAAAACTCTGCCAAGCCCCAATCTATCAATCGTAACTGATGACACAGAAGAAATGAGAAAAAAAAAACATATAGGAAAACAGAAGAAAGATAATTGTTAATAAAAGGCCTAATGATAACAAAAATGATAATGATAATAGAGAAATATAGTTGACAAATAATATTATATAATTATTAACTAAAGAAAAAAAACAATACAAACCTGTCTTTTGTCATGGTCAATCATAACATTGTGTGGCTTTACATCTCTGTGCATTATCCCCATACTGTGACAATAGTCCAATGCCTGTGTTTGCAATAAACAAGATTATTATTCATTCAACACACTATCTCTTTTCTGATCGGCCAAAAGCGTGTAGTAAATCTTCAAAATCAGTGCCTGAGATGTCATCCAGCCGCAGATTATTCAACAATCATGTCAAGGACACTCAAGGTCACAGGCAGTCACATGACTACAGTGTATGATTTCTAAGGGTATGTAATCATGTCAAGTTCAAACACTTTCTGTTGCATGCTGATTTGTATATTTCACTTGTTTAGAAATAAATTGTCAGTTCCACATACTGTCCTCAACCAATTTTATTTTGTTTGATGTATAACAATTATTAGATACAGTTTTTGAGATATCCAGAATAATCAAGGTCTCAGTAAGGGTTATTAGCCTACCTCCACCCTGATTATTTTGGATATCAAAAAAACCTCATCTGATAATTGTTTATAAGAATCATGTTTACAGAGCAAGGAACCCTTTACCTAACATAACAAGGACATAAGAAATCTACATAGTTTGGGGTTCTTGTGATCTGATGCAAGTGGTTAAGTACTACATGTCCTCCTATACATTTATTTAAAAATCATTCACTCTGTAGTACTGTAGCTTTGTATTTAATTTCTGCACCAGACTCAAAGCTTACAGTGGAATGACATGAAAAAGAAATTAATAATTGGCTCCTTTGAACATGCTCCTAAGAGGCCTTGAAAGCTTGTACCTTCAAGGAAAATAGAAATACAAGTATGCAAAAAGGTCCCAGTTATCACTGTTAAATTTCTTGAGAGGAGAACAAGGGGAAGCACTTTAAGTTGGAGTTCTCTTACATTTAATATTATCAATTAAGTAAACTGGAAATGGTACAAGTTTTTTTGTACGCTTACCTTTAGGAGTTCGTATAAGTAGAATCTGATGTCATAATCGGTAAATTTCTGGTACAGTTGCTGAGAAAAGTAGACAAATTTATAATTATTCACATATATATACAGTATGCTTAAAACTTACATAAAAGTTATATTAATGATATTTATCCATTAAATCAAGGTAAATGCTGTTCTAACTCACCTTAAAATCAGTGTTGTTTACATACTCAAAAACTAATGCAGGTGTCCTGGACTGTTGAAATAAATAATATGTAAACTGTCAAAAAAGGACACATTTTAGAAAATGTATGTCACAAGAATAAATACATATACATATAGAAATGTGTTGAAATACATGCAACTGTGAAATCTGTTTGCACTTTTCGAGCAAGTCTTCTATAGGATTGTATTTAAATGACTGAGTACCCAATCTATCAACTTTGAAACTTAAATCATATATCAAGTAACCTGTGCAGAAAATGTAGATGAACATACATGCACATAGTGTGTGTTTTGGTTTAGGTTTTTTTACCTATTTTAAAGAATGTTTTGAAACTATGAAAAAATTCTAACCACACTAGACAGGCATGTGTTTTGGTCCCAAATAAATTTAAGGTCAAAATGACTTTTCAGCAGTTTGATTTATATATTTTTTTTCTTTGCCCTAGATACACAATTATAGTCCTCAAGTAAAGAAAGTGGTTTGAGATAATTCATGTACATGTACATATACTCCTGCTTCACCTGGACTTCTAAAACTGCAAATTGTTAACATGAAGACATGCTAAAAATTTATAAACAATTTATTACAACACATATCATACAAAAATACTGTACATACCACAGGATCTTTGACAACATCCAGAAGATTAATAATATTGGGCCCTCCCCTCAGATTCTCTAGAATTTTTATCTCTCTCTTGATTTTCTTCTTTTTAACTGGCTGGAATCGAAACATGGTTAAATCTAATTACAATTTGATGCTGCAAGCAGTAAGGTTTCAAGATTTAACCATGTACATACATGTACAATACTATTCTTACTGCTTCCTATGTAATAATTTAAACTACATGTAATTGTAAAGTTCACATATTACTTCCTTCTTACTAATCAATATCTTGCTCAAAATGTTTCTTAACTGATGAAAAAAGAACAGTTTGGAAATTGCATCCTTTATCCAATGGGAGCATGCAGGCATCCAGTAAAAGTTTTTACTGTGTAGTCTCAAAGTGAAATTCCAATGCATCACAGAATTTAAAAATCATCAAAAGTTTACAATTGACTCATCTAGTTAGGAGTAAAGGCTGATCTCGTCTGTTTTTTTACCCAAGACCCTTCTAAATTGGAATGTTCACTAGCAGCTGCCAGTTTAAATGTGATTTCAGGTTATTATATCTACAACTACTGGTAGTAACAATTGTATCAATGTGCCTGGTACAAAAAGGAAAGCAATTAAAACTAGTTTTAAATCATTTTGGCATTAAATTCATTTTAAAATACAACATATATTTAGTAGTGTTTAGAGAGGTTTGGCATATCAGCATTTGCTGATCAATACCAATTTCTAAAGTAGTATGTCCCATGGTTTGCAAAATTAGATTTTTCTTTCCAACCCCAACTCTAATACATGGCATAACAAAGTTCTTAGCTGATTGGCACATGAATGGTGTTGGATCAACAATTCAAAGGAACATATGCTGAGAAACTGTACAAATTACCAAAATTACTACTTCCATTTGGTTACAATAGATATGTTGGACTAAACCTAATAAGGGAGTCCACTTGTTCATGGATTTTCTCCGATATATAGTTTGTACAGAAACATGTTTGTACTCCTTGCACAACACTGCACAGGTGTTCAACTATGGTTTACAAACTCCAGATGTACATCTGAACACATCTGATGAAGCATAGTGCTATGACTTCCTAGATAGTTACACAAAGCTGTAAATGTACATGTAGGAGAGTGAAAATAATTTTTGCTTTCTAAAAGATACAGCTGTAGTGTTGGTCATCTAGTAACCTTAACATTATAAATGCTAGATCTCTCTTGAATTACCCAGAAGCCTCTTGCATAACAAACAAATCTCCTGGTCTCCGTACCCACCATAATACACATGTAAACCACTAAAGTTGACCATACTGCACTGCAAAATGCATACATGCTCACAACACACCAAAGACAAAGTAAATACTAACCTTTAAAATTTTTACAACCACTTTCTCCATGTCCTCACTTGACACATTTATTGCTTCAAAAACTTCACTATATTTTCCTCTACCCAGTTTGCGAACAAGTTCATAGTTATCTTGTTGACTGAACAAAAATAGATACTAAACATTAGCTTTAACAACACAAGTGTAACTCAAAAATTACAGAGCACTCTTGATACTGTTCTCTACAAAATCACAAAATCAATTTCCCCTGTACATATGTTCAGCATACTATTTATTATTATTATTTTTTTACTTTGACTAGTAATAAACAAACTACCTCAAGATATTGATAATTAATCCCTTCTAATCCAAAGGAAAAGAAAGTAAAAATGAAATAGAGGAAACACATGGCTATGAATTGCATTTATATCACAATGTATGGAAGATAGCAGCAATTGATTAGAGCTCTTTTCAAAATTGTTATGGTCATTTTGTCACATGCCCATAACAAAATAAAGAATTTACTTTTCTGATGTATTCACTAGTTTCTCAGATATACAGCAAATCTCCCAGTCTGTGTTATAGCTTCCTAAAAGGTAAAAATTTGGACTTTTGAAATTTTCCTGGATTTGAAGTGCATTCCATGTAACCAGCCATTAATTAACAAATCTTGGAAAGGGAATGGGATGTGATGCAAACTCAAGCACTTCCAGAATTTGGTTTTTGAGAAAATAACATCAATGTGCATGTGCATTTAAGGTTAGAATGTAAGTTGCTTTTTCCGCACACAAACAGAAAATTTTCAATGTTGACGAGTACATCTTCATGCGATAATGCATTAACAATTGTTCTACACAATAAGCATATTTTAGGCTTCATTTCAGTGGTTGCCTTCTAAATTTGGTTATGTAAATGCTTCTCTCATTCTCTCAAAACTTCCAGCATGTTTCATACTCTTATGAATACACCCTGATGTACAAACTGATTGCTAATTTTGAGATACTGTTTTCCCTTTATGGACCATGGTAACATGTGCAATATTATAACTCTGCTGAAATGGCAAATTCAATTATATGCACTTCAGCTGAATTTCATTAAATATTTATCTGTTTTTCCCTCAGAATGTTGTATGACTTATTTGTGATGGTAAATTCTGAGAATTAAATACCTTAATCACATGCTTATCTGCAATGGCAGCTAAATCATGGTGGAAGGTAATAGCAAAGAAAGCCAGATGTGAAACCACCCCCTTGAGGCAGTGCATTTCTTCAAGATCAAATAAAACTAATCTTGATGAAAAATATTGAGAGCTAAGCTCTATGGCAACTCTGATTTGAATATTAAAATAGATTATTAAGTTTGAAAAATATATTCTAAAAAAATCAATCCATCTAATGCCTCTATAATATAATACCACAAAATAGATCCTAAATTCTTCCCTAAAATTTCAAAATAACTTGTACACACAATGTTAATCAAAGTAAAGGTTACAGAAATCTCGCATAATTTAGCACAAAAATGTCAATAGAATTTGAAATTGCATACGCTACCGCTTAAAAGTCTACATGTAGCAATTACAAAACCTAATGGCGTATGCTATATTGAAACGTGGAATTTCACGTTCAATAAAAACTGCTTTTTGCAAATAACAGTTTATTATCATTAGATAGCAGACCGTTTCGTCTCTCATGCTTCGTTTCGGACAATAAACCACGTTGGTGCACAACACTTGTGCTTGTCCAAGGCTTAGCTGGATTGTTAATCACTTAAACGAAAAAATATCGCTTTCACAAAGGCGTCTATTTACTCACTGATTTTAACGTCTAGTGAATTACAAAAAGGGAAAGAATGAGGAATACTTACCCCCATTCAATAACATGCGATTCATAATCCCAATACTCTCTAGGCCGGTGTACATTTACGTCCGAGTAGACTCTGGCACGAGCTGTGTTCGCCATCGTTTTGATAAACGCTTTCTTCTCGGCAGTTTTTGCCAAAGTAAAAGTTCTTCGGTTGCAGGTCTGATAAACCAGCCAAAATATTGAGCGTGTTATAATTCTTGTTTGCGTGTCACCCCTTTACAATGAGTTCCAAGCACTGAAACTTTGGCAGTTGCGAGCTCACCGGCGTCGTTCCAAACCCAAATGTCTCTTTGAACAATTTTTGATAACAATTCTTACCACTTTCTCGGCTATTTTCTTTACAATAACGCTATCAGTCACTGTGGTGAGAAATCATGGAAAAGCCTCATGCATGAAACATTCTGATGGGAAAAGGTATGTACCACAGAAAAAGGAGCACTAAGGGCAATTGCAAGAATATGGCGGCTGTTGAGACACAAGGAAATCAAGAAAAAGGCATATGGTCAAAGCGAGGCTACGGAGACCTGGGCCGAGCGGAGAAGCCGACACTTCGGCTGGCGCGTGGAGTTGAATATGACTCGCTTTTCTGAGATATCTCGACGTTTTTATCTCAAAAACTCAGTTACTCCATTTGAAGAAGACTCCACTCATGAGTTTAAGGGTCACAGAAACATAAGTGCAGAGGAGGTTCCACCATGGTGTTATATTCCAGGAACAGACAGGCGATCACGAAAGGCGGTATCAAGGTAGTTATACATTCAAGTTTATCCTCAGAAATATCTCCATAGATGCCACAACAGTACACTTATTTCAATATTTTGATTTTATACTTAACGGAATAAAAAGGTTGATAATGTGTCATGAACCGTGGTATGGTGGGGTCAGCAAATTATTGTTATATGACATGTAAACTTATATTTACATAGGCTGTTAAAACCGGTAAAACTGGTCGCAACAGGAACTCTTGCCCGACTGTCACATGATCGTCCACTTTTTTTAAAGCTTAAAATAGATTTGCATGTGTTAAGTATATAAACCCATTCAGGCAGCTGGTATGTTGGCTGATAATGTTTGTGGCCGAGAAATTGTCTGAAAATTGAACATTTTGGCCATTAATTTTCGCATGTGAACAGTAAATTTTGTTTACTTTTTTGCACTTTCCTGAAAGCCGCAATTGAGATCAGCATTTAAATGTCACTATCACTCATTATCTTTTTCCATGAAAGTGATAAATGTGAAAAAGTGAAGCTCATTTGCTGATTTTTTCCCACTGGCAAAAGTATGGGTGATAATAGTTGTTATTATGTAGCTGGCAGCGCCTGTGGGCAATATAAAGTGAATCCTGTGTTCTGATATCGGTTGGCTACCTGAGCAGACTAGATTGGCCTGCCTTGCCCACTCAGATTTTCTTGCTGAGATCCTGCACAAAAAAAACAATGGGTTGAACAGACTTACAAAGTTCATAATTTTTGGACAACTCTGGCGATGGAGTTGCAGATTCAAAAGGACAGAAGACAGTCAAAACAAAAAAATTAAGGATCCCGGTGGGTTTACTGTGCTGACAATTACATATGTAAATTTCCAAAAGATAAGATAGTCTACAGTATTTTATAAACCAGAAGCTCATCTTTTTTCATACAAGTTTTAGTTAATTGAGTAGGGTCAGCGGTCAGCAGTCAGCAGTCAGCAAGAAAGATGGCAGTAATTTTTGAGCTTCATTAAATTTACAGCGAATTTAGCTTATCAAAGCTGCATTTTCCTCTTTTTTCTTCTTTTTTATACATACCATTACGGGAGGTCTAACAACAGAAGAATTCAAGAATTTGTTGGAGAAGGCTTTAGAGCCTCTATGCAAATCAATTGATGAAGTGAAGAAGTCTACCACCACTGCAAACTCTAATTATAACCAACTACTATAAAAAAAAATCAACGTGGCTCCGCTAGCCCCCATGGTTATTCCAGGCAGCCAGCACTCTAACTTTTACTTTTAAAATTTTCATTGTTGTAATTTATTTTTGAGCAAGAGTGAGTACAATAAAGAGTGATCAATTGATTGATTGAAAAAAAATTTGTGAAATATTGCATAACAAACTGAACCACTGACCTTTCTCAGAATTTTTTTTTTTTTCGGATAATGCATTATTGCTTGTATTTGTTTTTTGGAGATCCATGTGACATCTCCTAGCTGAATTTTTTTACAGCTAAGGAGAGAGAGATAAAGAGCTGGGAGGTGGAGAATTTGAACCTTGCCAGGGTGGGGTGTGGAATTTGACCCAGAACTGTCTAGCCTTTCCAGCAGAATAAACATGTTTTATCTTTTAATATTATGGTGTTCACTTTCTCAAGCAGATGGCTTAAGCAGAAGGAAGAAAGTCACAAAACAAGAAAGTAGTGGTGGATAATCTTGCCTTTTACAAAAGAAATAATGATCAAATCTGGCACTTGGGTGGGGCATTTGAACACAATTTTGGCCAGAGAGGAGGAGGAGAATTTGAAAAAAAATCAGTCTTGATCAAGGCATTATTTCATGAACATAATTACTCAATGTTCCTTCTTTTCAGGAATATCAATGGGTTTTTAAATACTGGTAAAGGTGGTACCATTTATCTTGGGATTGTGGATGAAGGCAAGGTGAAAGGCTTACTGCTCACACAATATCAGGTGAGAAAAATTGAATTTGAATTTGCAATGTCAGTAATGATTAATGTTGAGCAAGGACTCTGTAATTGACCTCTGACTTTTGATAATATTAATTGTTTTGTCTTTAGAGAGATCATGTCAGAATTGCAGTTAAGGATGCCTTGAGTAGATACACTCCTCCTGTTCCTGAAGAATGCTATAAAGTAAGCTGTTGGCAGGATCAATCTTGTGATCATTAATTCTTGAACCTCTGCTTTGATTTTCTCTAGGTGATAAGGATTAGCTATCAGAGTTAAACAGAAATGAAACATGTTGCAATTGTAGACAACAATTCTTTATTTATTTTATGATATCAAGGTTGAGATTATACCAGTCATTGATTCTGAAGAAAAAGTAGATGAGTCAACAGCGTTCCTTGATCTTCAAGATGATAGGTCAGTTTGTATGAAATTTCTGCACAAAATGTTCAATGTGGGGAATTATTTAAAAACAGAGATTAGAGGTGTGATTTTCTTTTGTAACTTAACAATATGTTTACATGTACCCATAAACTGACAACCCTATTGAGAAGTCCTGTGCTTACACAAATTGAAATGTTAATTTTCAGTATTCTAGCTTGTTTTGAATATTAGTGGCCAATTCATTTTACATCTCCAGTGCCAGGGATTTGACTATCACTCTCCAATTTTAAGAAACTGAGTACCGGTACATCATGTGGGCTCACAAACTGCAAACTGTGTTACATGCTGTGTAAGTCATGCAGGCAGTGAAGGGGTTAAACTATTCCACCAATGGGGTAACAAAGATGTTTTTTGATAGAAAATGTCTAGAAAAGTGCCAAAATTTAATATTGCTAGGTGAAGATCACAATTATGTGCAAAATACCACAAATAAAAACAAAGTTTACCTAATTTTTGAATGTAATTAAATCATATAAATCAAGCAAGACTGCAGCATCCTAGCCATAATGCATTTACAAGTATGTGTAAATTCTGTGGTGTCGACAAACATTGAACTGTCAACAACAGTAATGTCAGATCATGTACTCCCTGTTCACCCTAGTTGCAATGAAGTGGACAGTAACTGCTTGAGGCCACACATCCTCAGGACATCTGATTTCTGCTGGTGTGATAGCCATGCAAAGGAACAATTTTCTGAGGTAATTGAGTATATTTAGGAGACATTGTACACTTACAAGATATTTTTTGCTTTCATGGGTTAATTTTTTCCTGGTTATTTTCATTCATTTTCAGTTTTTGATATTTCGTTTCAATAATTAAATACCCTTTTTGCAAGTAAACTTTTATTGCTTGAGAGGGGAGTTTTAATCTTTAAAAAGGAATTCCCTTCAAAGACAATTGCAGTTTTAACATAAAATGCCGACAAAATTACTATTATATAATATTTAAAGTAAAATGTCACTAAGCCAAAGTCACTTACATGTACCAAGTGTGTTTACTGTTAAGATTACTTACAAAATTAAAGAATAGACAAGAACTTGTTTTTCTATTGTTGCCCTTTCCATTTCAATGGGAAGAAATAAATAAATGGGAATTAAACAATGGACATTCCACTCCTGGCTCCTCTTGTCCATTGTCTCCAGATCAAAATTAATTGGAATTTGTGGTGTTGGTTTTTGTGAGGGAAGGAAAACTCAACCCACATGTGATGCCAAGTCTGTGAATTGAACCTGAACCACAGTAGCAGAAGGTAACCGCTGTCACCACTGTGCCACCCTTGCTCCCCCCCTCTCTTTATATGGTTGAGATTACTGTGTTTCATTTCAAAAATAAAATATAGACAAGGAATTTCTTTTTTTGTTGTTTCTCTTTCCAGTTAAATTAAATCTTGAAATTTTTAAAAGTTTGTTTGTTTGTTTGTTTTTTTCAGGGATTCCCTCCCTCTCTCTATGTGGTTGAGATTACTGTGTTTCCTTGGAAAAAACAGCAGCTTAAGATAGAGAGAGGCTGTATTCAATTTGACCTCCATCCTGTGTATGAAGACGAGGAGGGCAAATGTCACTTTAGAAGACAAGCAAGCTTAGTACAGGTAAGTTGAAGTGTGTACTACATTTAATCATGTAATCTTCAAAATGAATAAGATATCTAAAGTTTCCTTCCTGATCTTTCTTGTTGAATTTTTTACCCCTTTTCTTCATTTTGCTTGGGTGCTACATGTACTTGGAAGTTACTATTTTGGTGGTGAGAAAGACACACTCTTATCTGAATTTTTCCCTTGCAGTATTCAGTTCAAGAAGTGGTGGAACTTACAAAAGCAGAAATAAAAAATCACTTTATGCCTTTGCTGTTAAGGTATTTATGTGACCAAAGTTGAAATGATTTTGGAAAAGTTACATTAATTTTCTCACTAATTTTTCTTAAATGTTTTGAGATTACCAGATAATAACTTTTCAGATCATTTTTCAATAATAACTACAAATCTGACATGAAGTAAAAAGCAACTTACTTGATATATTTTTTCAAAATTGAACATGTAATTGACATCTATGTGCATCTTGGAGAGGTAACTTAGATTTTAGAGTTACTGTTTGTTATTTGAGTTCTACATTGCACAGAATGTAATCTAATGTCCAGATTGCATGGCTCAATATCAGTTTATGTTAGATAATACATGTAGATACATTTTTACTTTGACAAAAAAATTATAGATCGAGTGTATTCTGCTGCCTTTTGCAACCCCAGGCTCACATTGTCCAAAAATTAAGGAATTTTTTCTTTCTTGCACTGGATCAAATTGGGCAATCCTTAGCATCCAAGATGGACCCATCTAGCCTGCTGTGGTAGGTAGGATTCACTTCAGCTTGCCAACAGGCACTGCCAGCGATATAGTAAGATGACAATATTAAATCATTAGCCTGTAAGTGTCGGGTGACTTATCTTTTTCTTCATCTTTCTCTTTAGTCTCAGAGATGAGATGAAAACCATCCGAGATAGGCACAAATTACACAGTTGACAATTGCCAGGAGCTCAAGTTCAAGAAAGAATGTTGCAGCCAGGATGCTTCTCAATACTTCATTTTGCAGTTTCCTTGGAGGTTCACTTGAGACAGCCATCAACTAAAGTGGAATTGTTTAGGCGCAGTTACAATGGCTTACAAAGCTACACATACCATTCTTAGTAGAGATGAAACAGTTTATGTGGAGAATAGGTCACATGTTACTAGTGGGCAAAGTTGTGAACAGTGTATCAACTGAAATCCCCTCATCAAGAGGGTTTAGTTCTGAATGATTTAAAGCATTTGGAAATACAACTTACAGCATAGTAATTTTGACATGAATGACCTTCAAATCTTTATGGATGTACTTCTTTGCAAGCTCCTTGATGCTTTGATCATGGCTCTAAGTTGTAATGGAAGCTCTTGGAGATTTTGGTCAAACTTTGTTTTTTTGGTTGTTTGTTTTGTTTTACTCAAGAATCTTCACACAGCCCAAATTAGTAAATCTGGCTATCATACAAGAGATTTGCAGTAGTATTTTTTACCAAAAAGCTTTGTTTGAATTTTATTACTTTTTTTGAAATGTAAATAGAGAGATGTACCATTAAATGTATAAACTGCATTTAAAAAAAATTGGTCTGACTCATAAATTTTGAATCCTCAGTACACTTAGGGCAAATTGACTATGTGCTTGCCATCAAAAATTTTCTGTACTTACTGAAACTGCACTGCGCAAAATTCGTGGCAATGGAATGAACAACTCCACATCATGTTGAAATAGGTACAATTCACTTTCATTCTTCAATGGCATAAGTGACACAAGTTGAAACTTAAATAACATACGATTACAAAAGTTACACAATATATGATATAGAGAAATAACAAACATGACAGAAAGAGGACTATAAAACACTTAAATTGTTATGGCCATAGAAAAGATCAAGATTGATACTGCTAAGGCCAAAAAAAAAAAGGGAAAACGAAAAGGATGAGTGAAAGCAGCAGTATGTTACTGAACTGCACTTAGAGCAAAAAACAAGAAAACAAGCAAACTATTGCTATATGACTTGTACATCCATAAATTATGCAAAGTAGCAATAAGGCAGCATTAAGATGGCAATAAAATGACAAAAAAGGCACTAATGAAACAATAAGTATTAACGTTTGCCAATGACAGTATGAAAAGACTTAAAGAATGAACTTTACACAGGCAAAGAATCCAACAAAAAAACTGTTCCACTTAGAACCTTCACTTAATGTACAGTATCTTTTCACACAGCTTATTTGATGAGAACTCTCATTTACGTCAATATTTATCAAGTTCAACAAGATTTGACCTCTTGTTATCCATAATTATTGCAATTATAATAGCTCTGATTAGCGACTGGTATACAAATTGACATCAGTGAGAGTTAAGAGCGATGCTGGGTCATCTTAGTTTAAGAGAGCTGAAACTAACTCCACTCATGATCACTACACATACACCACTTTCCAATTATTTTCTTTATTCAAGATGACAAAGCCAAAGATACACTGTTTAGTCAACAGATTAGCATTTGTCTGCTCCTTACAGAGCAAACTGCAGTTTCAAATTGCTGATTAGCATTTGTCTGCTCCTTACAGAGCAAATTGCAGTTTCAACATTTCCACCCTGGTAAATGAAGGTTGTGAATGATTGCTTTAGATTTTTTGGGCTTCCACTAATGGTCTGATATTCTTTTTTATGTCAAGCGTTTGTTAGCCTCTCATGCTCATGTCCTAGGTTTGTTACCAGCAAAAAGAACATTTGAAGCTATATGGAGGGTACAACAGTTGAGAAATGAGGTTTAATGTTGGAGTCTTTCCAGCTTCAAAAGTGAGCTTAGTGATGAAATATTGTTTTTAGGTTAAAAGAAAATATATGAAAGTTAAAGAAAAAACAAACAAACATACAAAAAAAAAACAGAAAAATAGAAGAAATATTCACAGCTGCCTTCAGTGTAGGATCTGTTGCAGAGTGTTGATGAGATATCACCATTTCAAAATTGACTTGATGTAGATCTCTTTGTACTTTGTCCCAATTTAATTTTGCCAAGTTAGCACTATTTTTCCTCAGGAATTGCTGTGAAAATCCTCAATCCATGCATACTTTTGACTTCATCTCCAAGGGCCTATAATTGAAAGAAAAAAAATTAATGATCAATAATAATGATTGCACAGTAATATGATTAAAAACTATATTTCACTTTGTATTCTATCAGTGAGGAGAGATCAAATGTAGCATTATCGAGAATCTTTTCCCTTTGACCTCTAAGAGTGAGTGGTATCTATTCTCTCCTTATAATATCAGCCTTGAATCAAATGCAAGGGTTAGGAGAATAAAGGAAACGATCATCAATTTAGGAAGCTCCTGATTGTTAATAAAATTCTCCTTGTCAGTAAAGAGAAAAAGGGGCGTTAAGAGATATATATTGGGTTATAATGGATTAATAACATTAATAAGTTCAACAAGCAAGAAATAAAATGATTTTCAAACTTGTGCAATTTCAAGGTTTTTGAGTTGTAGAAAACGACAAATTGAAAATCTATACTTACTTTATTGACGAGGCGATGCTGTTGTACTTGTCTCTTTCCTCTGAAGTCTTCAGATTCAACAAATATTTCATACATGGCACCACACCCTCCTGTATGCAAGTTTAAAGAAAGAGCAAAATGACTGAATTTAGTCATTATTTTTCACATTGTATGTTAATTCAGTAATCACTGCTTTGAAAAGATACCTCAATCCCACTATGCACAGTTTTTAATTTTGCTTGTTTGGTTTCTCTTCTTCTTTACTAGTGGCCAGTTATCTTTTGATGGCAGGGAAGTTGGGGGGGGGGGGGGGGGGGGGGGGGGGGGGGGGGGGGGGGGGGGGGGAGAAGGGGCAGAGGATTTTTGGGATCACATAGCTTCCAGGGGAAATGGAGGGTGGATCAGCCCAAATTCTTCCAACTCCCTTCCTCCCTCCCCCTGGCAAAAAATAATGACCGATTTTCCTTCTCTTTGCAGTTTGTTTATGAAACCTTCGCGTGTACCAACCTGAGATGTCCTTGACAGCAATTTGTGAAGCACTGAAATTCTGTTTTAAAATTTCTGCAATTTTTTTTTCACCTTCAGACTCAGCCTGTATTTGAAGAGATCTAAGGGAAACTC